CTTGGGGGATTTTTGCAAAGCTGTCCTGGTTAAGGGTCTTGCAATTCTCCCAGAAGTTTATTGTCCTGGTATAAATCTGACTCGGATTTCTCACAGCTCTCCGTTCTCAAAAGCCTCTCATCCTCTGGCACTTGGACCCAAGCATTCGGCTATTTGACAGCGGGATAAGCACGTGAAGGGCACTGCCCTCCTGCCCCCTAGGGTCTGGCCCCTGTGCCGCCGTGATCAGAGGTTTGCGGCCAGACCTTGGCTTCCCTTCCTTCCCAGCCCCCAGCTTCCATCCTGTCCCTGCCAGAGATTTAAGGAGAAGGAAGTTCAACCCACTTGGTTTTCAGCTTGTCTGTCCACTCTAGGGAGGAAAGGAAGAGTCAGCTTAGCGGGGGAGGCCAGGGTCAGCCCTCGCAGGGTCTGGCATCCGGCCGGCCTCTGGGGTCCAGCCCCTCCGTCTGTCTGGATGTTCCTCATGGTGTCTGAGGCCTTCTGCCTGGGGTGCCCGCTGTTCGTGCAGCCTGAGAACAGACCTGCCCCTCCTCACTCTGTACCCCAGGAGCCTCCCTCAGACTAGGAATTCTAGAAACACGCTTTCTGTAAAGCTGAATGAGTGAAGGAACCCGCAACATGGTGGAGAGCTGAGATTGCAGGGCTGTATCTGAGGAACAACAAACGTGACCTTTCTTGTTCTCAGCCTCTGCCTTTGCCTGGAGCTCTGCTTAATTCAACCTTTTTTTTTTTTTAATGGGGAGGGGAAACACTCCACTTTCTCAATTCAGTTAAAGAGGCATCTGTATGCCACTGGGCTGGGCTCACCTGTCGAGCTCACAGGATGGGGAAGAATCCACCCTTGTCCCTGCAGAACCTGCCCTCTCGACTGAGGTCCGGAGAAAGGAGGAAATGTGGGGTTCAAGTGCCCGGCCACAGGGGGTGTGTAGCTCAGGGCACAGATACCCTTCTCGCCTAGGCCCACCTCCATGCTGTCCCCAGGCCCCCGTGGAGGACTTTGGGGGAGCGTGAGCCTGCGGGAATCATTCTGCAGCTGCGTCCCACGCTAGAGCACAGGGCTCTGTGAGCGGTGATTTGGACCCCTCTGCCTGCACCCTACCTCTCTCAGGAGTCTCATTGCCTCTCTGGGACCTTGCATCCAGGTCCTTCGAGGTCTGTACTCTCAAGGTAGAGTGTCGTTCCCATTTTACAGATGAGGGCAATCAGATTCAAAGAGGTCAAGCTGCGTGCCCAGGTTCACACAGTTGGAAGGCTGCAGAGCCAGGCCTCAGCCCTCCGGCCTCAAGGCAGCCTGGCCCTCCTGTTACGCAGCGCTGTCCCCACCACAGTGAGAGGGCTCCTGTGCTGGGGACGCGCCAGCAGGGGTGACAGGAGCAGGCGGCGTTCCAGATGGGCCTCGAGGGGTGGGCAGGATTTCAGCAGATGTAGAAAAGGTGGGGGCACAGAGAGAGTGAGTCAGAGAGACAGGAAGTGCAGGCCAGGCCTCAGGGGAGGCTGATGGTCCAGGAGGGGCCCAGGTCATCTGAAGAGGCAGCCCCTGTGTCTGACCCACCAGTCCCCTCTGAGGCAGGACAAGCTCCTGAGGCGTAGCTCACCATTAGCCAGTGTAACTCCAGCTTTACCAACTGTCCCAGCCAAAGCCTTCGGCTTTATGTCAGAGGAAGGTCACAGTGGCCCATATAACCTCACTCTGCTACACCGCTGTGGGCAGCAGCCCTCTCTGAACTGCGGTCTATGCAGTAAGGATCTTTGCAGTAATTTGCAAGGAGAAAAAAAAGTGGCTTATGCAAAAAAAAAAAAAAAAAAAGGAAATTACTTTATTGGTGCCTTTTGGGGAAGGGCAGGGATAGATCTGGTACTTCCAGTAGAGCTTGATCCAGTGGCTTACGTGATGCCATCAGGAGAGAGGCAGCTCTTCGCTCCGCCTCTGCTGAAGGTTGGTTTAATTGTCAGGCCCCAGCAGCTCAAGACTCAGGCCATCCTTCCTGTTGTTAGGTCCAGTAGGGAACGTCTGACCCAAAGATCCTCTGGGAAGGCTCATTTCATGTCATTGCTCTGCCTGGGACATTTACCCCTCCCCAGTGAGAAGCTCGCAAGTCCCACGGCCGCCATGTTGCTAAGCTGGATTTAACCCCCCCACCCCTGGCCCAAAGTTCATGATCTAGGAGTGCTACTCCAGATGGTAATTAGGGTACTCCTTCCAGGGGAAGCGTGCAGAGGAAAGATGGAGAAAAACAGAGGCTCACCCTACACACAATACATCACCAAACCCATTCTACCAAAGTTGGTTCTTGCCTGGTTTGGGGAACCTGGAGGAGAGATAATGACCTTGAAAATGTGCAGCCCTCTCACCATGGCCTGAGGCCAGGCTGGGACACCAGGCCTGCCTGCTAGAGCAGCCAGCTGCTAACCAAGCCAGAGGCTGGGCACAGATCATGCCAAAGGGGAGCCACACTTGAATTTCAGGGTCAGAAGGTGAGAGGTCAAAGCAGGGGGTTAGGACAAGGTGGGATCCGGCCCTCGGCACCCTAAGCACCCGATCAGGTGGGACGCGGTGTAACACATCCACCTAAATCTCAAGTTTCCATCTTTTCTCTACAGTGGCGCCACTTTGAAAGGGGCCGGTGGCAGGATCCCTAATTTGCTTTTTTTTTCCTTTCCTTCTCTAGCATTCAAATGATTCCAGAGCCCCAATTTTGCCTTGTGAAACCCACGTCAATCCAAGTTAAAAAGACTTCCCGGGCTTCCCTGGTGGCGCAGTGGTTAAGAATCCACCTGCCACTGCAGGGGACACGGGTTCAAGCTCTGGGCCGGGAAGATCCCACATACCGCGGAGCTACTAAGCCCATGCGCCACAACTACTGCAGCCCGCGCGCCTAGAGCCCGTGCTCCACAACAAGAGAAGCCACTGCAAGGAGAAGCCCATGCACCGCAACGAAGGGTAGCCCCCGCTCGCCGCAACTAGAGAAAGCCCGCGCGCAGCAACAAAGACCCAACGCAGCCAAAAATAAATAAATTTATTTAAAAAAAAAAAAAAGATTTCCCCAGAGAATGTTTTCTCCTGTAAGACTGGCCACAGAAACTACTCTAACAGGGAAGATATGAGCTCACCACGTCATCCCCTACCTGCATCTTCCCTTCTCTGCCTCAGCTGCTGAATTAGGGGCAGCTGGGGCTGCCTGGTCCTCTGTCTGTCTTGTGCAAATAAGAGAAAAAAAATAAAACAAAACAAGGAACAGTCCTGGGGCAGATGCAGCCCCCCATCAGGGTACAAGGTCTGAAGCAGGGCACACACAGGCTGGATTTCAGCACCCACCGCATCTCACCCAGGAGCCCTTGGACAGGGCACAAACTGAAGAGCTGTCTGTGGCACTTTTGGTAGGTTATAGGAAGGGGAAGTTCCCCGACCCCAGCACACCAGCACCCAGAGAGGAGGCAGAGAGAGGGAGCTGATCCCTCTGGCACCCCCTCCCCAAGGTAAGAGACTCCACTGATGGAGAGAAATATAATTGTCATTAAAACAAATCATCAGGTTTTTTTTATTTGGCAGAAGCATGGCACTCTGTAGCTTTCAGTGAGTGGTCACCCTCAGTTTCTCTTTTGAGCCTCTCAACAAAACCTGTTGGGTAAAGGGGCAGGTATTTCTCACTTCCTTTTTACAAATAAGGGAGCTGGGATCTAAGGGGCTGATTTGCTTATCCTCGTCTCATGGCTAGCAGGAGGCAGAGCCAGAACTATAAGCCAGGCTTGTTGAAATCGAATCCAGGGCTCTTTTATTTGTTTCTATTCTGTGTTAAAATAGAAATATCTGACCTGTCAGGAAATCCTGTTAGCTTTACCTCCAAAATGCTGCGTACCCAGAAACTGACCACTTCTCATACCCTCACTGCCACCATCTCTTGCCTGAATTATTGTAACAGCCTTGTAACTGATCCCTTGTATCTGCCCTTGCCCTGAAGGCTGCTTTCCACACAGCCACCGATTGATGTTCTCTTCTTAAAACTTGAGGACATGTCATGTGTCTGCTTCAAACCTTCCGGTGGCTTCCCTTCTTTCACAGTGGTGCAGAAGGCCACGCCCACACCCTTCACTGGCCTCATCCCCTGACATTCCCCCTCTGCCCACTCAGCTCCAGCCACCCTGGCTTCCTAGCTGTTGGCTTCCACCGCAGGGCCTTTGCACATGCTGCCTTCTCTGCCTGAACATCCTCCAGCACTGCCGGGTGCTCTCTCTCTCTTCCTCAGGCCTTACCCCAATGTTACTTTCCCAGTGAGGTCTTTCTTGACCACTCCGTTGAAAATGACAGCTCCCCACCACCCCATACTTCCTTTCCTTTTCTCCAGAGCCCTTTCCGCCCGTGTCACTCCATTCATCAGTTTTTCCAAGCTAGAATCGTTCCTGCAGGGCAGGGAGTTTGTCTGTTTTCCCAGCCCTAGAACAAGGCATAGCAGGTGCTCCCCAAACGCTAAGGGAGTGAAAGACTGAACACACTGCCCTGGTGCGTGAGGCAGCTTGCTGTCCTTTCTTCACAAGGACAGATGTGGCGGTGGTATAATAAGATGCCCTCTGAATAGCAAGTGTGGAGAAAGAAAAGTCTCCCTTCCGGGAGTGGTGGCCCTTTGCAGCCAGTCCCCTGCCATTCAGTTACTTCCTCACCCAGTGCTGAGTAATGTAACCTGGTGACCTTTTGGAGACCCGCACCTGAGAGACTCTTTTGTTAGGGCAGAACCGTATCTCCTGGAACCTTTTTTGCTCTGCGCGGGGTTTCTCTAGTTGCAGCAAGCGGGGGCTACTCTTTGTTGTGGTGCGCGGGCTTCTCATCGCGGTGGCTTCTCTTGTTGAGGAGCACGGGCTCTAGGGGCGTGGGCTTCAGTAGTTGTGGCTCGTGGGCTTCAGTAGTTGTGGCTTGCGGGCTCTAGAGCGCAGGCTCAGTAGTTGTGGCACACAGGCTTAGTTGCTCCTTGGCATGTGGGATCTTCCCGGACCAGGGCTCAAACCCGAGTCCCCTGCATTGGCAGGTGGATTCTTAACCACTGCGCCCCCAGGGAAGTCCTCCTGGAACATTTATTTTAAAATTTTTTAAAAGTTTCTAGGAACTGTGGCTGTCAGAAATCTTCAAACTCCCATTGCTTTGTCCCAACTTGTCAGACATGCTCTGGGGAGAGGAGAATGGTTGTGGAGATGTTTGCACAGCTCTGTGAATATACTAAAACCCACTGAATATACATTTTAAATGAATGAATTATGTGGTATGTGAACTATATCTCAATAAAGCTGTTATATATTTTTTAAAAAAAAGGATTTTCCAGCTGGACTGGAGTAGAGGGAACATGGAGGGTGAGGGAGTCTATTGCAGCAGTTCAGGGCAGAAATAAGGAAGGTCTGAGTCAAGGCTGTGGTCATGAGGGTGGAGAACAGGGGCCTGAATGTGGAGACGAGGTAGAGCCCACAGGGTTGTGTGTGTGTGTGCATTGCTGTCGCTCTCGTTCTCGTTGGAAGGGAGCTAATAACAGCTCGTATTTATTGAGCGCCTTCTGTATGGCCGTGACCCACGGAACATCTCCTCTGTTCCTCACTGTAACTCTCTAAGAAGGGCTGTTTTTATTCTGGGAAACTGAGGCACAGAGGGATTCAGGAATTTGCCAGGCTAACATAGGATGTGGTGGAACTGGAATTTGCACCAAGTGGTTCGACTCTGAAGCCTCACTCCTCTAACCCCCGGGCTTCTGGGTGGGTTAGCTGGAGGAGGGGACGTCTCTCTCTGAGAGATGAACCGGTTTGCAAGGCAGAAACAGAGACACAAACGTAGAGAACAAACGTTTGGACACCAAGGGGAGAAAGGGGGTTTGGGATGAATTGGGAGATTGGGATTGACATATATACACGAATGTGTTTAAAATAGATAACTAACGAGAACCTGCTGTATAGCACAGGGAACTGTACCTCGCTGTACAGTAGAAACTCACACAACATTGTAAAACAACTGTACCCCAGTAAAGAAAGGGAGGGAGGGAGGGAGGAGGGAGGGAGGGGGGAGAAATACTGTGGGAATCACCAGGCACATATCAGGTGGCAGAGAAAGTTTGAATTACCTATACATTAGGACCAAACTGGGACAAGCTAGAGCATTCCAAACTTGGAACAAGGGGTCCTATATAAAATTAATATTTAAACCAAATTATATATAAACTATATACAGTTTTTTTTTTTTAAAAAAAGAAATATTAAAGGAGTGGCAAGGATTTGGGGGGAAGGGGACAAGTTTAGCCTGGGACATGATGAATTTGAGATGCCCCTGGGATATCCAGTAGATATTCCACGTAACAACGGGTTAATGGAACAGGAGCTTGAGAGAGGAGGCCAGGAAATGACAGATTTCCACACCATCGAATATATTTGTTCTCCTCGGGAGTGAATGAGAGCACGCGTAAGAGTCTAGTCGGAAGAGGGGAAGAGGAGAGAAACAACGATGGAGACCTGAGGTTCCTGATACTTAGGGTGGGGGGCAGAGGAAGAGCAGCCAGAGAAGGATGTGGTGAACAGTCAGGAAGCAAAGGGAAAGGCTCACCGGGGACTGAGCCCTGGGCACCCAGAAGGGGAGGCTGGAGGTGTCAGCCCTTAGGCGGGGTGAGGACAGGCAGCCACTGGGAGTCAGAGGAGGGACGTTTCAGATCACAGTCCGGGGAGGAGTGAGTGAGGGTGAGGTTAAGAGACGGGGAGCGCAGACCTATGTGAGAACCACTGAAGACAGTCCTTCTACAGGCACCTGGTAGGGAGAACAGGAGAGAGAGTGTCTAATCCTCCAGTCCTGGATGCCTCCAGACACCAGCTGAGCCCCGGTGGGTGTCTGTGATCTGGAGGCTCCCGGGCGGCCCTTCCTGCTGCGAAGAATGCAAATGCTCACGGAAGGATACAGATGACCACGGCCTCTCAACCGAGAGCAAGCAACAGCGAGGGTTTCTGGTTTACTGCTTTGGGAGCATATTCAGGGTTTCAACAATATCGAATAGTTAGCTGAGGTTTGGGGTTTTATTTAACTACAGAGTATGTTTATTGTGATACAAAATTGGTTGTAATGGGCTTTGACCAAAGTTTGAATTCTGCTCAGAAAGCCAGCCTGTGCCACTACTCTTTCTTGTTTGTCACGCTTGAGGAAAACCTGATCTCACGTAAAAGCAGCAACCACAGCCAAAATGGCTAGCCAGCTGCCACCCATCATCCCCCACCTGCCCTTAACCTCTGCAAGCTCCTCTCCTATGCCGCCACGTCCAAACACTCCACATAGGACGCTACCTATCCTTCAGGACCCTTTCATGTCACCGCCTCTAGATAAACACTTGCTGAATGACTGAATGACCCACCCACCTGGGAGCAGCTCTCCCCACCAGGGCTTTCAGGCGAAAATGGGGGTCACTTCTCACTACTACCCCAATGAGGGTTCCACCTTTGTTGCTTTTTTTAGCCCAAGAAGCAAAACCTGGGACTTACCTGCGGCTAAGACTCCATGCTTCCACTGCAGGGGGCACGGGTTCGATTCCTGGTCAGGGAACTGAGATCCCTGCAGTGAAGGCCGCGCAGTGCAGCCAAAAATAAATAAATAAATATCAATAAATAAAATATGATTAAATAAAAATGAAGAAGCAAAACTTTCCAGGGTTGAGTTGCTCATCAGCATCTACAGGGTAAAAGTGACAGAGCGTGCGGGTCGTCTCCCCAGCGGGGGTCTTTCACGGCCCTGCTGTGAACCATGGCCACTGCAATGGCCCAGCTAGGGAGGTAATTCCACTTTTCCTTTGAGGCACTTCTCTCCCCTCCAGCTGCCCTTGAGTGTTTTGGGGGTGAACAGCGTGTGGGGCTTCCTGCCCCTGCCAGAGCTAACCCAGAGGGATAGATTGCTTTTGAAGGACCTGGAGGACCCACGCCCTTCTCCTTCGCCTTGCATCCACTGTTTGTCCCTCATCCCTTCTCCGTCTGAGCATGTCCGCTAGGGTCTGGAGGGCAGGTGCGGGGCAGGGCAGCAGCTGGCCAAGGCCTAGAGGGGCTGCTTTCAAACACATTCAAACCCAAATGAACCAACGATAGATAAAACAAACCTTTAAAAAAGGAACTCCCTTAGGGCAGCCCTCCGTGGCTCCATAGCCCCTGCTGGCTGCCTCTTTCAAGACCATGTGCTCTGCTCTCTGGAAGCAGATGGCCTGTTGGAGTTTTCTGGCAAACATTCTGCTACTCTGCTGGGACTATGCGGCCCTCCCCAGTCCCTGCCGGCTGTGCCGGTCTGGGTTGCAGCGTCTTGGGCCTGCTGGGCTCCCAGGCCAGGCTAGGAGAGAACACAAAAGCCAGAGCCAGCGGGATGCGTACGCGCCCCTCCTCACCCCAGGACCCCTGCTGCCGGGAGGAAGAGCACAGCTTTGTTCTGTGAAAACCCAGATAAAGAATGACCTGGCCCTAAACCAGCCCGGACTCAGCAGGTTGGTCCCGCCCTCCCTGCTCTCAACCCCTTTGTCAGGAGTGCACTGGGGAAGAGGTAGGAACAGCAGAGGGGCACAGCTGCAGAGATGCAGGGGGGTCCAGCCACCCAAAGCATGACAGGCTTTCAGATGATTCAGGGGACCCTCCTGCTTGCAGAGAGCAAAAGCTCAGGGGCACGGGACGAACTTGAGGGAAGGAGGGTCAAGGCCGAAAAGCCTGGATTACTGACCTGGGGACCACATCGTTCTTCCCTTGGACTCTCCTTCAGCATCTGTACAATGGGCGCGTGACCCCTGCCCTGCCACCTCACGTTCCAGCCTCGGCCTCAGCCTCAGCCTTCTCACCTTTGATCTTGCCTGCACAGCTCTCCTCAGACCGACTACTGCTGCTTCTCCAGGCCCCTGCTTCTCCAGGCCCCAGGGTGGTGGAAAATGCCTCTCCCATAGCTCCCACCCACAGAGAATAGGCCAATTCACCTGAAGAAACACCAGCACCACCTGGTTCCAAATTCCCAGGGAAGAGACTGAATGGCCAGCTGGCTCGTGCTCACCTGGGCGGAGGTGTCCTGCTGAACCACGGGAAGTGACCCAGCACCAAGGGAGGGGAGGGGGTAACATGGCTGGAGGTGGACAGGTGGCTGTGATTAAGGGGGTTATTGTGAACTGGAAGGATGCTCCAAAGCCACGTGCACCTGAGATGCTATGTTACAGAGAGGGATGCGGGAAGAGGGACGATGAGCTGAGGCGTGGACACGCTCAGCTGATGTGACTTTTGGGTGTGGAGTCGGCCGGAGTCCAGAGCCTCGTGCTCCGCAGAGGTCCAGCTGGAGGCGCAGATCTGGGAGCGTCAGTATCCAGGAGGCCATGGGGAGGAGATCCCCCAGGGCGAGAGAGTGGGGAGGGCTGGAGAGGGGCAGCGAGGAACACCAGTGATGAGACGGGCAGAGCTGAAGGAGACAGAGGAGGGGCAGCTGGGGAAGCAGGAGGAAACCGAGAAAACAGGGCAAGATGTAATCCAAAGGAAGACGAGGGAAGGGCTGGTGTTGTCAGAGGTCAGGCTAAATGAAGCCAGAAAGGTGAGCAGCTGGGGGTGGGTGTGCACAGAAAGGCCCTGGGAGGGGTGATGCTGAATCTAGAGGGACAGGTGGGAGATTCTCGGGTGGAGCCCAGGCACCCAGGATGAGGAATCGTCACATGCAAAGACACACGGTGGGGGACTTCCCTGGTGGCGCAGTGGTTAAGAATCCGCCTGCCAAGACTTCAGCATCATTTCCCCTGAACCCTGTGGCCTCCTTTGAGACATCTGTTGACTCAAAGAAAGACACACAGCATGAGAGTTGTGAGTTTAAATTTTATTCAGGGTCCTGCTGAGGACTATAGCCCAGAGACGCCACTCAGCAGCTCAGAGGAAACTGCTCTGAAGGAAGAGGGGAAAAGCCAGTTTATATATGATTTTTGGCTAGGAAATACTTGCAATCAAGCATACATCTTGGTAAAAGATTACTGCTAGTCACAAAGAACAGATATCTCAAGTTAATGATTTTAGTGCTTTCTTATGTATGGGAAGATGCAAAAATATATAGGGTCATGGAAATTCTTCCTGAGATATACATCTAACTATCTAGGGGCCCATTTATCCAAAGCACAGGGTGTCTCATCCTGTTTTTTATCCTGAATTCCTCTCAGGGTGCACTGTTGGTGGGACTGCAGTGGGTTAAGACTTAACCCTTGCAGAACTGGGTGGTGAGCCACACTCTTTGTTCTTCGTTCACACATCTTTGGCTGCAAGTGTGCAGGATGGCTGTGAAATAAACTGTCTGCGCGTGAGGAATGAAACGGGAGGAATGTTCACTTCCTCAATCTGGAAAGACAGACAGGCCTCACGCTCCTCAGCCAGGCTCTCAGAGAAAAGGAGAGATGGGGACAGAAGGCCGACTGACTGTTGTTGCTTCAGGGGCTGCTGAGGCCCAAGAAAATCCACTTGGGTTGCCCAAGGCCTGGCAGGGACAGAGCCTAGGCCTTGGACTCCTCCAGTGGGAAGGTCAGACTGCCCAGGCGACATGGCAGGTGCCCTGCACAAGTCCACAGAGCTCCCTGTGCGTGCCCGTGGCCACCCAGGAAGACCCTGTGGGGGACATCTCGGAGCCTCTGGAGGTGGAGGCAGTGCTCAGGAACAGGAGAGGCAGCGATGGCCACCCAGGACTGTGGCCCAGGCCCCTTCTCGTGCTCCTATTCCCCTGAAATCCTCGGGACTCCTGATGAGCCCATGGAGTTGGGGGGAGGGGTTCTCCAGAAATAAAAAGTGGACGATCCCCCTCAAGGAGATACAAGCCTGAGGTGAGATTAATTTAGTTTAGGAAAATGATGTTTGTTGTTTCTTTTACATTCCAGTGTTAAGGTTCAGTCAGGAGTAACAGAGATCCTAACTTTTACCCAAAAAAGGTGATTCACTGGAAAGAGGATGACAAAGCAGCGGGAACCTAAAGATGGAGGTACAGAACAGTGTCCCGGCACTGGAACGCCAACAAGAATCAGCCATGCCCCTTTGCTGGCCTCTGCTTCTTTTCCCCCAGGGGTGGGGCATACCCAGAGCTGACTCCTGTTGATTGCTTACTATGTGCCAGGCACTTACAGAATGGAGTACTTTACATGCGTTGTTTAATCCTCATGACAACCCCATGAGGTAGGTATTAATAATATTACTCCCATTTAGCCAATGTCTGATTGAGGCACAGAGAAGTTGAGTCACTTGCTGAAGGTCACACAGCCAGGACATGGAGGGACATATTCTCCAGAGAATATGAACTGGATGAGCACCCTAGATGCGTCTCCTACCCCTGGCTAGCCCCCTCCCAATAACTTGAAAAGGCACCAGGGAGGACAGGCAGGAAGAAGGCGGACGGACGGGTTATTGTTATCCACCAGTTTACACGACACTTCACACGTGTTCTCATCTCAGCCTCACCACAACTCCCTGCGGAAAAGGAGACCCAGCAACGAAGTGACGGGCCTGGAGCCACTGCAGCTGCTGAGAGCTGGGCCCCGTCCAGGGTCTTGGGGGTGTTTTTTCCTCACCTCAGCCTTGGCAAGCGCAGGGGGTGCTGCTGGCCCCGTTGGTGCAGCAAGGACAGACTGTGTGCAAGGCTTTCCGACCAAGTGGTGTGTTCAAGCTCTCCAGGTCCTGACGCTACAGGAGAGGAGCGGTGTGGGGCCGCAGTGAGGTCTCCGCGATTAGGGAACTTGGATCCACCTGCAGCGCCTGCCTGCGTGAGCCGCCCTTTCTGTGGCTAGGGCTTTTGAGCTCATTTCCTGTCTCGGTTCTCTCTCTCCAGGTTGGGGGGAGGGAGGCGGGGCGGGGCGGGGCGGGGACGCGCTTCCTTCCACAGAGGATGGGTGTGGCCAGGACGGGGCGGGGCTGCGGAATAGCGGCTCGCCCCGCCCTCCGGCGGCAGGAGGTGATGGGGGGCACTGCGCGGGCAGTTCTGAGCCTTTGGGTTCCTTTCGCCAAGGCGGCTCCTGAATGGAGGTGCGGGCAGAGAGGCCCGTGAGGCTCTCAGGGGCCCTGGGGGCTGGAGGGCCAGGCCTCTCGGGAAGGGTCACAGGCCCGCGATTGACAGACATCCCGCTTGGAGAAGAGAAGGATAAGGAGCTTTCTGGTCACCAGGGAGCGTGTGCCCAGGCACGTAAGAGCCACGCGCTCCCCTTCAGCCCCGTGGATGAGGTCTTTAGAGACCCCTGGGACCGTTCCTTCGCCAGGAGCCGGAGGGGCTTGCACCATGTGATCCCTGAGGGGGCTTCCCACTTCTGACCCCCAGAGCTTCAGTTGAACCCCCTGGACTGTGTGCAGGAAATGCAAGGAGGGGGAGGGAGGGAGACAGACTCCAGGAGGGCTTGTTTGAAAGGGAGCCCTGGGGGCTTCCCTGGTGGCGCAGTGGTTGAGAGTCTGCCTGCCAATGCAGGGGACGCGGGTTCGTACCCCGGTCTGGGAAGATCCCACATGCCGCAGAGCGGCTGGGCCCGTGGGCCGGCGGCTGCTGAGCCTGCGCGCCCGGAGCCTGTGCTCCGCAGCAGGAGAGGCCGCGACGGTGAGAGAACCGCGCAAAAAAAAAAAAAAAAAAAGTGAGCCCTGTTCCTGCCTACACCTACTAAATGAGAGGCGGGGCCCAGGATCTGCATTTTCACCATTTCGCACTAAAATCTGAGACATACCACACCGGCCCTTGTGCAGTTCCTCAACCACAGCTTCGCCTGCTCTGCCTCTGCCATTCCCCCAGATCTGCACAGTTCTCCCTCCATGTCATTCAGGTCTCTTCTCGAATGTCCCTCAGAGTTCTTTCCTGACCTCCAGTTTGCAATGTTTGGGAAATACTTGTACTAAAAAAAATTTGTTGTGAACCTAAAACTGAAATTAAACTGGGCATCCTGTATTTTTATTTGCTAAATGCGGCAATCTTGAGGCAGGAGGACTCTGCACCCGCAACCCCCTGAGAGTAGGGCCGTTTGGTAGTTGAAGTTTCCAGGAGCAGCAAACAGGGCTGCAGCTGCCACCCCTGCACAGCCCTGCCCTACAAAGAAGGCAAATCCTCTTCTGGGGCCATCCTGCATATCTGAAGAGGAGTGTGTAGGAACTTCCAGGCTAGGAATTAAACCTAAGTGCTTTCTTCTCCCATATTCTCCTCCTTGGCCCTGCTTCCTGCCCCAAATGCTCAGGTGTTCTGCCTCAGTCCCCAGGTGATCACACACTGCAATGGACTCTCTAGACAGGCCTGGGTATACTGTACTCATTTCCCCCCATCCCCCATGGGTTCTTTTGGTTGCTCTAATAATGAAATTGATACAAGACAGATTAACAGGAGGAAAAACAATTTAATTTGTATGCACAGAGGTCTTATAGAAATGGGACTCCCAAAGTGACCAAATCAGGATGTTTATATATCATTTTTAGACAAAGAAATAATTATTTGTGAAGCTTTAACAAAGGGCCCGCAGTGCTTGGGGCTGCAGACTAATGAAGAAGTAACAAAGTTTGTTTATACAGCTTTCTTAGCCTTGAATTCCCTGACTCTGGTGATAAGGATGCTTTCTATCCTTTCCTTATAGGGAGAATACCTTCACATGGGAGATTTATTTACCACTTTCAGGGGGAAAGAGGGGAGTCAGAGTGTTTTTCTATGTCATTTTTTCCCCCACTGGCTGTCTCTCAAATAACTTTAATTCAGATAATCAGTATGCCACTGCGATACATCTTGGGGCGGCCTGCTCTGAGCCCCGAAGGGACAGGGAGCCCCTGCCATAGGAAACAGACACCACAGGGCAGGCTCAGAAATAGACAATGAGCTCCCTGACCTTCATACCAGTAACCATGACAACTTGTGGTTGGGGTGAGTTAGGAGTTGAATTGTGCCCCACCCCCAGTTGGTATGTTGATGTCCTAACCCCCAATGCCCAAGAATGTGACCTTATTTGGAGATAGGGTCTTTACAGAGGTAATCAAGAGGTAACGAGATTATTATGGTGTCCTTATGAGGTGAAATTTGGACACAGACATGTACGGAAGCAAGACCGTAAGAAGACACAGGGAGAGGACAGCCATGTACAAGCCAAGGAGAGAGACCTGGGACAGATTCTCCCTCCCAGCCCTCAGAAGGAACCCACCCACCTGCTGACTCCTTGATCTTGGACTCCTAAGCCTCCAGAGCTGTGAAATGATACATTTCAGCTGGTTAAGCTCCCCAGTCTGTGGCACTTGGTTACGGCAGCCCTGGCAAACTAATGCAGGGTGCCGGTCTCAGAGTCCAGGGCTGACTCTACCATCTCTGCCCTGGCACCTCCCATCCCTCTATCCACCCAGGTGGGGGTTTCCACAGGACAAGTTTGTGGTGAAGCCTCAGGTCACCCTGGGCTTCTTGGATCCCTTAACTTTTGTCCGAGCAACAGGCTTGGCTCAGGAAAGCCATTTGGTGTCCCCCAGGTTGGGGTCTCAGCTCTGGTGGCCAACCTCCACGTGGGGAACATGCCTGCTTGTATAAGAGTTTTGCTGGGGAAACTTGGGCAGTGGCTGCAAACAGTTCACTGCGAGCCAAGAATAAGATTGTCAGGTCTTATAGCCGAAGGAAAGAAATTCAGACCAGCCAGAGTTGGAAACGGCTTTTGGGCACATAAATAAAGCAACATGGAGATCGACTTTCCGGTGTCCAGAGCTGGTCTGTGCTCTCAGGACAAACCTCAATGAGGCAACACACTCACCAGTGGCAAGGACTGTGTTTTATTTCTCTTTGTGTTCCCAGCACCCAGCACAGCAGCAAGTACACAGTAGGTGCTCAGTAAGTGTCAACACTTCCTACAATTAAACATCTTACTCCAAGCAGTAGAGAAAGGAAATAATTCAGTAAGCTGGGAAGCAGTCCACTTGGTGGTGGGCAATTTGATCCGCTCCCAGTTCTGGAGCAGATACCCAATGCTGGGTAACCTCAGACAACTCTCACCCCCATGCTCTGGGACTCCGTGTCTCTGTAAAACTGGGAGCCTCAGTACCTGACAGGGCAGCCTCCAGCCCCAAGAATCCTTCCTGGTTTTGGGCTAGGCGGATGGTGCCTGGTACTAATAGGCCTCACCAGAGCTAATGGTGGGGAGGTGCTGGCATCAGGGAGCTGGCAGGGAGGAGGCCAGGCTGTTCTCACCTACCCAGCTGCTCCCCAGGACCTCTCCCATCTCTGCACCTTGCAGCCAGCTGGACACTTTCTAACTGTCTGGGTTGTTCTAAAGTTCTACCTTGAGAGGTCAGAGCTTTCAGAGGCTGGAGTGAAGAATCAGGGAAGACACGCCCACCCCCACCACTAGCAACCCCATCAGGGTTTCAAGGGTGAGGAATCACATGGAGCTGTTGTGGACTGAATGTGTCCCCTCAAAATCCCTGGGTTGAAACCTAACCCCCAATGTGATGATATGAGGAGATGGGGCCTTTGGGAGGGGATTAAGTCATGAGGGTGGAGCCCTCATGAATGGGATTAGTGCCCTTATAAAAGAGGCCCCAAAGAGTTCCATCCCTCCTTCTGCTGAGTGAGGACACAGTGAGAAAATGATCATCTATGAACCAGGAAGCAGTCCCTCACCAAACACTGAATCTGCCAAGCCTTGGTCTTGGACTTCCAGCCTCCAGAACTGTGAAAAATAAATTTCTTTTGAGCCCTCCAGACTGTGGTATTTTGCTACAGCAATCCTTATCGACTAACACAGGAGAATGCTTGGCTTATTCATTGTGTATTAGGGAGATGAATGCCAGTTTTGAGTGACTGTCACCTTGCACCTGCCTGGGGACCCCTGGGCCAGAGGAAAATGGGGATGAGAGCAGAAGGGTGAGAGGGTCTGGAGCTCTGCACCTGGTGGGAGGGGCTGGGCATCCTGAGGGGAGGTCCCAGGGCCCCAAGGCTGTGACTCACCATCATTGCTGGCATAAAAGGAAAGAGTAGACAGACACCAGTGGGGGCAGAGAGACCCTGGAGCCAGCAGGCGACCAGCACACTCGGCCAGGCTGGGGAGAGGACAGGGCTGGAAGTGAGCGAGAAGCTGAGGTCCAACACTGTCTCCCTGAAGAAGGTGGTGGCCTTCCTGTCCGGCCACTTCCACTCCCAACTTTGCCTGAACACACGCTGTGCTTAGGCCCCTATTCAAGCCACCTTTGCAGAGGTGAGTTGTGAGGGATGGGACTGCCTTAAGAAGTCAACCCCAGTCTTTATTGGGGGTCCAGGGAGTCCAGAGAGTTGGAGGACCACCCCTCTTCACTGGATAACTGGGAGGGCCATGCAGTGAACCTCCTGTTCTCCGGGTGGGGCTGACCCATGGAGGAGGCTGGGTCAGTAGCGGTGTGGCCCCTAGGGGGAAGCCCTGGGTTATGGGGCGCCAGACCTGGCTTCAGCCCCCCCCACCAACCCTCCTCACCCCCTCACTACCCTGCACCACTGGCGGGGGTCAGGCGACTCCCAGATGGGCCTCTCAGAAGGAGCGGCAAGGAGGGTGGTGAGCTGATGGCTACCCTGAGGACGGGGTCAGCCTCAGGTTTTGAGTCAAGGTCAAGGTCACCTTTCTATCGGCCCCTTCAGCCAGTGACTGAGCGAGGTGAGGGCATGTGGGCCTGGCCATTTCCGTCCTCCGCTGGCTCCTCTGATGGGCTCCCAGCATCCACTGGGCTGCGGAGACGAGTGTAGCAGATCCGAGTGGCACTTTGCCAGCTCTTCCTACCCATTTTCTCCGCTGGTGCCGCTCCCCTGTAAATCTTCTGCGCCC